GGTGGAGGCCTCTGCCACCGGCGTCGTCGGGGCTCGACTACCCCGCTCTCTCCGCTGCGCTGGGGTTCAGACCTGTTGTGGGGTGCTGGCCTCAGAGGGTCACAGTTTGCGCAGTGCCAGGAGGCTCTGCGTGGGACCTCACCTGTCGTCACTGGCGGGCTGAACCCCCGGTCGTGCCCGCCATGCCCAATGTCGTCTGGTCAAACTGCTCTGCGGTCCGGTTTGTGCCTGCGCGAGCCTGACGGCCTCGGTCGGCCGTCCGTGGACGCGGGACGCGGCGGTGGTCGGGCGGGACGTGGCCACGGTTGGTGCGGGACGCGGGAGCGCGGCGCCGTTGGCAGCGCCGACGCCGATTGCACAGGTGGCTGAACACTGCACATCACCCTCGGCCAGCGATACCGGGTATCAGCCTGTGACGTGCTGTTTCTCGCCGCCGCTGCCGCTGCCGCCGCCGCCGGGCGGGCCGTCCGGCCCGCGGACCGGTCCGCCATCTGTTGTCGCGAATGGGCACCAGCTCGGCGGCCCGGTCGACGGCTCACGCGGCCGCGCGTCACCGTCGACACATGTCGCCGCCGGGAAGTGACACGTGCCCCGGAGGGGACACGAGCGTGCCGCGGCCGACGTCGGCGCAAACTAGGCTGGTACCGAGCTGCCTCCGTGCACATTTTGTGCTCGTGCATCTGGTGCATGCTTGTGCATGCTTGTGCATCTCGGAAGGTGCAGGCGCTGACTGTTGCAAGGTGCTGCACGCTCACATCTCCCGCCCACTGCCGTCAGCGGCAGATGCTGATGTCCGTTCTCGGCTGTTCCGATCTGGTTCTGGCACGTGCGCTCTGTGTGAGCCCCCCCCCCCCCTCCCCTCCAGCCCTCGGTGCCCGGCAGCCCTACACAGACACCGGAAGCCACACAGGTGGACCCCGGGCGCGGGCCTCGTGCCGGGCCGAGCACACGTGACCTGTATTAAGCGCTGGCGTGGGACCACGTGACCGGTGGGAGCTGCCAGGGCTGTTCTGACCCGTTGACAGCTCTGCAAAAACTCCATGCACTGCGTTGAATGTTGAAGCAGCGCGGCGCCCCTTCCGGTCGGCGGTTCTCGTGGTGCAGGAAAGGCGCACTGTCGGGGGAGCGGACCGGCGGACCGGCGGTTCTCGTGGTGCAGGAAAGACGCACTGTCGGGGGAGCGGACCGGCGGACCGGCGGACCGGCGCCGTCGGCAGCGCCGTCATCTCGGAAAAACACTGAGCTCTGCATCCTCGGCCCTCGAGCGGCGGGCCTTTCAACCGAGGCGGTCGCGCTGCACCTGTTGGTGCAGTTGGAGGTGCAGTAAACCCATCAAAACCCGAGCTCCCCTGCACCACCCTGGCGACCTCTGAATCTGCCGAAGCACCACTAAGCCGACCTTAATGCCGTACACAATGGCCGTTATCAGATGATCGAGTTGGACCCTTACTCTGCAAACGAGCTGTGTCAGAGCTGTGCACGCTCATGAGGCGCGGCGATGTTTTACCACCGCTCTGGCAAACACCACTGATTAAACGCTCGACGTGCTGAAGTGCCTGCCGTTACCTCAGTCCTTGTGATATTCTCATTAGTTGTGGCTGTAGGGGGGGGGGGAGAAGGTAAAAGGTAGAAGGTAGAAGGAAAAGTGGGAGGGAAGAAGGCTGCGGACAGTGTGGACCTCGGACTCCCAACCTCTCCATCAGAACCTGCTGCGGTGGTGGACAGGGAGCAGGATGCCGTGAATCCTTTCCGGTGGATGCAGGTCGAATACCTGATCGATTTCCTGACCCACGACAGCAGGAGCCGAGCAATTTGCGTCCTGGTGCGGTCGGTGCCTGACCTATGGCCCTTCCGGCATCATCGGGGTGCCGGAAGGGCCAAAGGTCCAGGTGTTGTCCAGACACTGTCCAGGTGTTGTCCGGCCGACCCTGGAGCCGTCGGCCAGCAGGCGGCACGATCTGCAGAGGACAGGCTCGCAGGCGTGTGATGGCCCGCTGAAATCGGGGCCTGCTACCGGTCGCGCCGCTCTGGGGTGTCGGGGTGGGACCTGAACCCGGCCGGGACTGCCCGGCCGGGGCCTGCGGCGATGGCGACCTTCCGTCACAGACTCGGTTGGATGTGCTGGGGGGAAAGGCACTGCGATTATGTTATCGCCCTGACAGGGGCACGCCTGCCGCGAGGAGCGTGGCGGCTCAGTTGGCAGGTGAGGTAGCTGGCTGTGTCGGCGAAGTGTTTGTGAAGTGGGAAGTGGGACTGATTGTGAACGACTTCAGTTCAACAGCTGCTTTAATGACGTGTTTATGGCTGGACAGTCCATTGTCATGACTCCTTGCGAGGAATGCTGTTAGTTTGCGAGTGAGTGTCAGGATCCAAACGTCCCTAGGCTATATATCAGTGGATACGCGCCGCGAATAGACCCGACAACATTGCGGTAATCTGCGTTATAAGCAGCTTTCCCGCTGGTTGAGGCTTGGGTCAGCTGCCGGCTCTGGGATCGTGGCGCACATTGTATTATTAACAACTCTGAAATGGCCGGTGTGGTCGCAAGCGTGGCCCTCACATGCAACTCCTCGATACCTGCTGGCGTGTCCACCGCCTAGCAGCGTGACCCTGCGCGGCCGCAGGTCATGACCCGGGAGCCCTGTCACGCAGTGAAACGAATACTTTATCGATCAACTGAACAACAGTTATTATGGTTGTGTAATACATCTTACTGACACAAAAATGTCCGTATGAAGATGGGACGCGTGCCTTTCGTGCCTACGATGAAGCCAACCGGGGCCCGTTCGTCCCGTGATGGCGTCACGTGACCAGGGCCCGCTTGTCCCGTGATGGCGTCACGTGACCGGGGCCCGTTTGTCCCGTGATGGCGTCACGTGACCGGGGCCCGTTTGTCCCGTGATGGCGCCACGTGACCAGGGCCCGTTTGTCCCGTGATGGCGTCACGTGACCGGGGCCCGTTTGTCCCGTGATGGCGCCACGTGACCAGGGCCCGTTTGTCCCGTGATGGCGTCACGTGACCAGGGCCCGCTTGTCCCGTGATGGCGTCACGTGACCGGGGCCCGTTTGTCCCGTGGTGGTGTCATGTGGGCACACGCTGCACTGTTCATTAAGCATGCAAAGCGCTGTTCCAGTTGCATTGAGAGGTCGGGGCCTGTCTGATTTCTTCGATTTTGCCTTCGATGGCACATATTGTTAATGACGGTTGTGGTCGTATTTTGCTGGCGTTCGTCGGCAGATCAGTGAGTGGATCTCCTCTGGACGAAGCGGGGTCAGCCCCGCTGCTGTCACGCTATCGGAGGGATAACCCGCCAAAAGATGACTCAGATGAAGTGTGGTCGTTACGAATATGATACCCGATCTCACTGTGTGTTGCCAGCATATTCGTTCTTGTTAAAGCTTGCGTTCATTTGTAACAATTAAATGCATCTGCGATGCTATACTCAATGCAATTCAGCGGCGTTGTCGTACTGGCTAACACGGGTTAACGTGCGGTAGCGCATGCAATGATTCGCGTACTAGACACAACACCCTACCCTAGTGCTGATGTCTAGTGCATTGCGTATTTGGCGAATATTGATGTTTGTTATTATTTTTTTACACAACAATGTGTATAATTAGACGTAGTTTTTTTGGCTGGAAAGACCTCCATGCTGCTGGCTGCTTATGACGCTCTGCGTGATGACTGCCCCGATTTTCTGAATGGATATCTTTCAGACACGCGACCAATGGACGCCCGTACTTTGGTGTACACTTGTATGCCGATATGTGAGTGGGATTGGCTGCCGTGCCTGGCTCCAGCGAACGGCCGTCCCGTCATCATCCGTCCAGTGATGCGCGTCGAATGTTGTCCCCGGGTGCGATGGGGTCGCGCCCTCCCGCGCCCGCAGGAGAGAGGGCTGCCAGTCATCCATGTAAGGGATGATCCCATTTGTGATCGCAGCGTCACAGTGCAGCACGACAGACAGGGCCGATCGTTAACTGCCGGCGGTCCCTCACGGCGGCCGCGGGGACCCCGCCGCTCCCCGTGCGCTGACTTATCCAGGGGCGTCATCAGCACTGACGGGGTGAGGTGCCCCCTGTCACCGGCCATGCCCCTGTCCTCTGCCTCGGCGTGCCGGGCCGCGGGGGGACGCGACGACACCGGCCGTCATCGGCGCCCGCCCCGAAGTCCATCGATCGCCACTGGCCCGAGAGCCGCGGCGGCGAGTGTCAACGGTGGGGTGACGTCGACACCCCCTCCCCGCTCGCCGGGGACGGATCGGACTGGGTGACCTGGGGCACCGTCGGGGACGTGGCGGAGCGCTGGTGGCCTCCGGGCGCGCGGAAGTCGGATAAATTGATGCGGATCTTGTTTGGAAGAGACGCCACTGGGACCGGCTTGTCCGACGGTCATTTCAGGGACATCTATTGCGGCCGTGTTGATACCGCGCTCCGACGAAGCTTCGTCTCGAACTCTGTGACCCTTGGGTGACCGGTGGAGTGTTCTCGTGCGCCAGACTTGCCGTATTTGGAAACTCAATGCCCAAATACACTGTGGAGCTCCAGCGGTGTCCGAATGGAAGTACCCGGTGAAGCCCACCCGTGACCCCCATGACTCACTACCCATGCCTTAAGATAGCCGTGACCCGTGTGTGGCCTGCCAGTAGTGGGATAGCCTGCCATAAGTGGGATACTTGCTTGGGCTCCGGTTCCTCAGGGCTCTGGGTCCTGGCACTTATGTTTCTGACGGGATACAGGAACTGTTCTCATGGTTTGGGCGCCACTAGTGACCTTCTGTGACCGCAGTTACACCTGTCAGCTTCTGTAACCTTCGTAGTGTTTTAAAGAAGCGATGTGAAGTGCCCAGGCGTTTCATACCGGCAACGCCACTCCGTTTCCTTACGTGGCCTGGAACGTCCGTTACCTTTCTTAAACTCCACCATCTTTTTCTCGCTTCCCGCGTGAGCTCCCTCAGGACTTTGTCACCGTTGCTGACCTCTCTTGGCCTTCTGTTCCAGCCGGAGACGGTGCCGCACGGCGTGATCGATATGTCGAAGGTGATGGAAGTGGCCGACGCCGAGGACGTCACTGGCAACAGCTACAGCATCGCGCTGACTGCGCCCGATCGCGTCACCTTCATCAAGGGCACGTGCCGGGACGAGTCGCGCTGGTGGATCGACGCGCTCCATGTCTACACCACCATGGTCAAGGTCAGTGACCGGGGTCAGGGGCATTCTGTGTCGTGGGCGGGATTGAGATCGGTCTGCGGTGTGGTGTGGCGCGCGTATGGCGTGCGCACACAGAATGGACAGAACTGCATTGTGTTGCATACAGTTGGTACATGGTGGCCGCCAGCACCGTCCCGTTCGCTGGGCAGTGTCAGCATCGTCCCGTTCGCTGGGCAGTGTCGGCATCGTCCCGTTCGCTGGGCAGTGGCGGCATCGTCCCGTTCGCTGGGCAGTGTCAGCATCGTCCCGCTCGCTGGGCAGTGTCGGCATCGTCCCGTTCGCTGGGCAGTGTCGGCCTCGTCCCGTTCGCTGGGCAGTGTCAGCATCGTCCCGTTCGCTGGGCAGTGTCAGTGGGCTTGTGCCTTCCATTGGGCCCGCTCGGTTGTGATCATATGGATTGGTGGTAGCGCCGGAGGGCGTCCCAAGGAACCAACTACAGTGTGGCTCCAAGCATTTGTGGCGTTCGTTTGTTTCAAAGCATCATCTGACGGGGCCCGCTGCTGCTGCGCCGCCGTTGGCTAAACTCCCACAACCAGCCGCACTGCCGCGTTGTTGGCGTTCCCCGAGCTTAGGTCGCGCGGTCGTCTCGGAGACGTTCGTCGGCGTGGTTGGTCCGCGATAACTTGATCCATTGCTCCCTCACAATCTGGCCTCCCACAAAGTATTTAGCGCACTGTTTCCCTGTTCAGCACGTCGGGCCGGTGGCGCGTGGCGTCCGCGGTCGACGGCCGCCAGACCGGAGGAGACCGCATTGTTACCGAGTCATTGGGACAGGGTGTTAGCGCAGCGGATGCACAGTTATTGCTGTGGCTATCGGTCTCGCCTGGTGTGTGGCTGACGTGCTGGATAAACAGACTTTCATCCACTCCTTGGTACTTGACATCTTCGGTGACCGGAGAACGGGATATCAAAAACAGCGAGTAGAAGTCGGAGAACGCAGATGGAAAAAAACCAAAGACGGAAGTCTGAACAAATATGTCATCCGAAGGGGATAGGATGGAATGGATGGATGGATGGAATGGATGGATGGATGGATGGATGGATAGATGGATGGATGGATGGATGGATGGATGGATGGATGGAATGGATGGATGGATGGATGGATGGCGAATGCCCGTAGGTGGCTGGTGCATTTCATAGGACCACGTGTTGCTTGTGGTAATCTCACTCCCAGTTTATTACTGGTTTGTAACGCACACATACACACACACACACACACACACACACACGCACGCACGCACGCACGCACGCACGCGTATGGGCTCCAAACTTAGTGCGACACGCTGCTTGTGAACGAACACCGGGACGCCACACAATATCACGGAGGTGGCGGCGTGCCAAGCCGCACCGCGGTGTAGGGCGATATTCGGAGCTCATTGCCCATTGTCTTCACCCGCCTCGTAAAGCGACGCCGCCATGGAACGGCGCGCGCGGCCGTTGGCGCCTCTGATCTGCGGACCTGATGATCTGGGGAGGCCGGTGGGCAGTGTTGGGGGTGCCCGTCGGCCACCGTGGGGTACGGACAGCCGGACGGCCGACCTCCCAGCGACGGACGCACTCGCCCCGTCTCCCGGCCGGTTCATCTCCCCATCTGCGCCGTTTATCGCCGCCTCTCGCCGCTGTTTTTCTCGCCGCACTGCCTTGCGACACGGCGCGCCACAGTGGCCGCGTCTCTTCTGCACCACGGGGACGCGATGCCGACGAGCTGCGTGCACCAGTGACGTCACTGGTGTGCTAGGTGTGCACCTGTGTCGTCACTGGAACACGTGACCCTTGAGAGGTGTGGGTGACGGTTTTGAAAGCCCCTTCAGCCCGAGATGGTTAAAATGCGGCTGGTGTGCAGTTTCCACTGTATTGGTTCATAAATGCCTCGGTCTTTGCTTTTGACGCGTCGAGCTGGTGCACGCCGTCCATTTCGTGTTCAAATGGGACGCGACCCGCCGTCCAGTGTTTCACAACAGCGCTGTGGGCTCGTTGCAAGTGATGCGAGATATTGATCTGACACGTACCGATTGTTAGATAGAGTGCGTCTGGGCGCATTACAATCGCCCCTGTTGCCACATCGTCCCAGTTCGGGCAAAAACAGCTGTGAACAAAGCGGCGCAGCTCACCACTGTGGGGTGTAGCTCACCACTGCCACTCTCAAGTGCCGGCGGCGTGTCGTTGTGTAAGCCGGCGTGCAATACTCTTCTAATGGCCATCGCCGCTCGCTGAACACGTGACGAGTCTGTCCGCGAGGACATGTGCTCGCTAACCGCGCGCGCGCGCGAGGGGGAGAGTTTAAAAGCAGCCTGCCACCTAATCGAGCGCTGTTCGGTTCGTCAGCAGCGCTTTCAGTGACGATTTCTCCGGATTGAAGTTACGTCGATAGATGGTTTCTCAACGATCTCCAGACACGGAGGAACACATGACGGAGGGGCACGTGGCGTCCGGCTTCTGAGGCCGCGCGCTCATGTCGCCATGTAGAAGCGACATGGCATGCCCGTGGTAGGAGCACGAGGCTCTGTAGTATGTGTATGTGTTTATATGTCGGCAGTAAAACACGAGCGTCTATTTGTCAAGCGGCTTCGAGAGTTCAGCCATAAAGAGCAAACAACAGTTCGGCAAAAACAACAACAAAAACAATATGTACTACTCAACGTGGACGGACCAACTCATATTCACAGTACATTGTGCCAGTCTCGCACAAAAAGGGACATTCCAATCGAGAATGCCAGCGAAGGCATAGTTTAAAGTGAGGCAATCTTGTCAAAAGGCAACTGGCGGGTGGCGTTCTCACACGCCGACCGGACAGACCGCTGACCCGGCTGGTGTCGCTTGGGTCGTGTTAACAGCTGACCGGAAACTGCCAGGTTATAGCCAGTGGCGCGGCTCTCGCAATCGCCGCACTAGCGGCGAAAGCGCTGTCTCTCAGCGACAGAGTACAAACGCCGCTCAGCTGAGTCTGAAGTTGAAGTGCCTTCGCGATTAGGTCAGGCGGCATCACATACACGTGCCGGTCCAGGCCATTGTGCTTGCTAATGGGCACCGATAGCGTGAAGTGTCATGAGCACGTCAGCTCAGCAGCGCTAGGTCAGGACTGTTGCCAGCGCGAGGCCCGTACCGTGAAGTGTCATGAACACGTCAGCTCAGCAGCGCTAGGTCAGGACTGTTGCCAGCGCGAGGCCCGTACCGTGAAGTGTCATGAACACGTCAGCTCAGCAGCGCTAGGTCAGGACTGTTGCCAGCGCGAGGCCCGTACCGTGAAGTGTCATGAACACGTCAGCTCAGCAGCGCTAGGTCACGACTGTTGCCAGCGCGAGGCCCGTACCGTGAAGTGTCATGAACACGTCAGCTCAGCAGCGCTAGGTCACGACTGTTGCCAGCGCGAGGCCCGTACCGTGAAGTGTCATGAACACGTCAGCTCAGCAGCGCTAGGTCACGACTGTTGCCAGCGCGAGGCCCGTACCGTGAAGTGTCATGAACACGTCAGCTCAGCAGCGCTAGGTCACGACTGTTGCCAGCGCGAGGCCCGTACCGTGAAGTGTCATGAACACGTCAGCTCAGCAGCGCTAGGTCACGACTGTTGCCAGCGCGAGGCCCGTACCGTGAAGTGTCATGAACACGTCAGCTCAGCAGCGCTAGGTCACGACTGTTGCCAGCGCGAGGCCCGTACCGTGAAGTGTCATGAACACGTCAGCTCAGCAGCGCTAGGTCACGACTGTTGCCAGCGCGAGGCCCGTGCCGTGAAGTGTCATGAGCACGTCAGCTCAGCAGCGCTAGGTCAGGACTGTTGCCAGCGCGAGGCCCGTGCCACGCCACCGTGACGACATCTTTGCGGTCGCGTAGAAGAAAGGCCTGGGCCCATGAATGAAAGCTGAAGTCAGACGAGAGAGGCCTCGTTCGAAGACGACGGTCGTTTACTTCTGCGTCTAACTGCCTTGCTGAACGGCGGGAGGGGGCGAAGATCGGCATCATTGAATCGTCCCTGTCGTTACTGGGCATAGACATCGGCGGTAGCAGCCAGGCGGTTCATGACGACCCCTTGTTCATTGTCTTCTGTTATGGCCATCTGCTGCGCTCGCTGTGAACTGTTTGATTCTTTATTGTGCCAACATGCGGTGTGTTGTGCCGACATGCGGTGTGTTGTGCCGACATGTAGTGTGTTGTGCCGACATGTAGTGTGTTGTGCCGACATGCGGTGTGTTGTTCCGACATGTAGTGTGTTGTGCCGACATGCGGTGTGTTGTGCCGACATGCGGTGTGTTGTGCCGACATGTTGTGTGTTGTGCCGACATGTAGTGTGTTGTGCCGACATGTAGTGTGTTGTGCCGACATGCGGTGTGTTGTTCCGACATGCAGTGTGTTGTGCCGACATGTGTGTTGTGCCGACATGTAGTGTGTTGTGCCGACATGTAGTGTGTTGTGTTATATTGCTGCGACGCCACCGTGACTGGTTGCCACGTGGACTGGAACTGGTATCGCCGTTCGACTGGCGGACCCCGCTTCCCCGCCCTACATCAGCCGGCGAACCCCACTTTCCCGCCCCACATCAGCCAGTGGACCCTGCTTCCCCGTCCCACATAAGCCGGCGGACCCCGCTTCCCCGCCCCACATCAGCTGGCGGACCCCGCTTCCCCGCCCCACATCAGCCAGCGGACCCCGCTTCCCCGCCCCACATCAGCCAGCGGACCCCGCTTCCCCGCCCCACATCAGCCGGCGGACTCCGCCTCCCCGCCCCACATCGGCCGGCGGACCCCGCCTCCCCGCCCCGCATCAGCCGGTGGACCTCACTTCCCCGCCCCACATCAGCCAGTGGACCCCGCTTCCCCACCCCCACCTCAGCCGGCTGACAGCAGTGGCCTGCTGCGGATGGTCTCTGGCGCTGCACTGGCGATCTGTGGAGGGTCTGTGGCGCTGCACTGGCGATCTGTGGAGGGTCTGCGGCTCTGCACTGGCGATCTGCGGATGGTCCCTGGCGCTGCACTGGCGATCTGCGGATGGCCTGTGGCGCTGCTCTGCCAATGTGCGGATGGTCTGCGGTTGTGCTCTGACGACCTGCGGATGGTCCGTGGCGCGGTACTGGCGATCTGACTGTTGTTGACCCGTGCTCCGTGCAGTCGCAGCGTTGGTGATCTGTGGTGCTGTACTGGCGATCTGACTGTTGGTGAGCCGTGCTCCGCACAGTCGCAGCGTTGATGATCTGTGGTGCTGCTCTGACGATCTGACTGTTGGTGAGCCGTGCTCCGCACAGTCGCAGCGTTGATTTGTACTCGTCTTCGCCTCGCGTTTGTCGCCTTCCTGACGCAGTGCATGTGTTGTGTTACAGGGCCGACACAAGAGGAACGCAACATTCCCGGGCGGCCGCTCCACCACCGTCTCCTCGCCGTCGGCTCTGAACGGATCAGGTACGTCAGGTCAGGTCAGGCCGAGTCTGACCAGGAAGTTAGGTCACGTGCAGTTGTGCCAGGCTGGGTGCGGTACAGTCACGCCAGGCTTTGTCCGGGATGGCCGGGTACATTCAGGTCAGGTCATATTAGGTCAGGTCAGGTAAGATGGGATTATCACATGGCGTACCGCGTCAGGTGAGATACAGTGGTCCTGCCCAGTTCGCTCAGAACGCTCAGGCACAGCCAGGTCGGGTACAGGTACAGCACCTCTGCCACGTGAGGCCAGGTCGTCAGGCGTGGTCGGGTCAGGTCAGATAGTCGGGCCCGTCCCACTGCTTGCTCTATCACACCTCATTCCAGTTCAGCATTGACAGGCCCAGCTGCAGCTCTGCGGTTTTGCTTGCAGCGTTAAAAAATGTGGTGAAATTGACACTGGAGACTGCGCGGTCGTGAAAAATAGTAGTACGCTGCTGGCGCCAATGAAGGTACGGCGGTGAGGTCCGGGGTGGCGGTGGAACGAAAAATGACGAATGCTGCAGATGATGCCAGAGTGACTGCTGGCCTACCCGCACTATGAGCGGCGAAATCTGTCAGCGTTGCAGCGGCGAACTCCGAAAAATTGATCTGTGGAGTGGCCGTGGCTCGAGGGCAGGCCGCGGCCACTGTGATGGTAGCCGGGCGCTCAGTCCGCTGCCGACCGGAGTATCCGACGGCCAGCGGAGATACAACTCCCAGCTGTCTCCGGCTCTGTACAACTCCCAGCTGTCTCCGGCTCTGTACAACTCCCAGCTGTCTCCGGCTCTATACAACTCCCAGCTGTCTCCGGCTCTATACAACTTCCAGCTGTCTCCGGCTCTATACAACCCCCAGTTGTCTCCGGCTCTATACAACTCCCAGCTGTCTCCGGCTCTGTACATCTCCCAGCTGTCCCCGGCTCTGTACAACTCCCAGATGGCTCCGGCTCCATACAACTCCCAGCTGGCTCCGGCTCTGTACAACTCCCAGCTCTCTCCGGCTCTATACAACTCCCAGCTGTCTCCGGCTCTATGCAACTCCCAGCTGTCTCCGGCTCCATGCAACTCCCAGCTGTCTCCGGCTCTGTCCTCACTCCCAGCTGTCTCCGGCTCTATACAACTCCCAGCTGCCTCCGGCTCCATCCGTCCGATCGAAAACATTGGGCGGCGATTGAAAGCCCTGACCCATCTCACCCAAGAGACGCTCAGCTAACTCGTCGCATGACTGATGACGTCACAGGTCACGTACAATGCCTGAGAGCAGGGAATGTCTCCGCCGGCCGCAGTGCCTTACGGGGCTTGTAACAATGTGCAAAATGATGGGTTACTCTCTTCCACGCTGGAACGACGCCCTGCCGTCAATAGAAGGAGGCCAGGCCGACTTATTAGATGCGACTGTTTTGCTGTTCCCAGCCGCATCACGTATGGCTACGCTCACGACGTTTTCAGTGGTGATTGGTTCGGAAAATGTGCTGGCTTACCTTCGTGTTATGGCGAATGGTCGGCACAGATCCCTTTGACCACCTTGGGGCTGTTATAACAAGAAAAACTGCGAGTTTATCCCTGCAGAAATGCAGACAGCTGCGCTTGCCATCACTGATAACGTCATGATAATTCCGACACAATGAATATTCCGTGATCTGACATGGCATCGATGTATCTTTTCCTCGTGATTGTGTCAAAGCCATTGCCTGACAGGGAACGATAGTTTGGTGGACATATCTGTAACGGTTGGGAAGTTATTCCAGAAACACGCAGCGGATTGACTTCCTCGACCATGCTGTCGAGGATTGTGCGCTCTCGCGACCGTTCGCTGGTATCCGGTGCTTATGTGGTCACCGTCTTCCATGTACTCTCATTCTGGGGATCGATTTGTCTGTTGTGGTGCGGTCCGTTCTCACTTGGTCGATTATGTTCTGTGTCGTGCCGTTTTTTCTGGTCCGATCTGTTCTGTCGTGGTATGGTCGGCTCTGTCCTGGTCTGGTCCGGCATAGTGGTCTGGTCTGGTCCAGTCTCGTCCACCCTAGCTTGACCTTGTCTCTATAACAATTGCTGGAGCAAAATGGTTTGTTAGAAGCGCTCAGATACAGGGAATCGTTTCATGTCGCCGACGGTTCACGGACCATTACAGCAGCAGACGTGTTTAGTTATGAGCAATAAGCTAATCAACCCCTAAAAGCTTCATCTGTTCTTGTCCACCCGGCCTGGTATGCTCGTGTCTGGCCGTCGCCCCGCGGCGCTTATGAGCTCGTACGGAACAAGGCGTGACCTCAGGGTTGACCCGAGGTCTCGTCGGTACGGTCACGCCGGTCATACCGGCTGAGGGGGAGAAGGGGGCGCACCAGAGGCGCGGTGTCTGCCTATCCGCTCAGCCGGCGCCGCTACGTGGACTGGTCGGGTCGGCTGGCGGGCTCGTGCCACGCCCTCTGACCACGGCGGCGGCGGGACCGGCCTTCGGATCCGGCCTTGGTTCCGCTCCCGACCCGATGCGACCCGGCCTGGTGGCGGCGGGCGGTCAGGGGTCGTAACCGTGACTTAGGGGCGCCACCGGGCCAACTTTTGCGAGATCGAGACGCCTCCGCAGAAGAAAGACGGCGTCGTGTCACGGAAGGAGTTATAAACATGGATTTGGACGTAGGACCGATTTGAGATGCCCACTCAATCTCACCATGGTGAGGTTGTAATGGTGTGCTTGATACGTCATGCAGCTGTTTCAAACTAAGAACGGAGCACCTTCGCCTCAAACGACGCTGCTTTAGCTCCGGTACGTTGCCCACTTACTTGTCGCGACTGCCACAACGGATCACGCTGACCTGGCACTTCACTGTATACGACCTAAGACAAAGCCGCGTTGTCGTCCCAAACACCGCTGCCTGGGCTGCCGCAGCATGTGGTGACCGGCTGACCGCGTCCGACCGAAACCAGGTCACTAGCGTTGCACTGTAATCTCCTGTGCGGCCGTGCATTCGGCGTCGGCGCCTGCACGGCGGCCGGCTTCCAGTGACCGGCTGGGCGCCTCTGAGCGCCGCCGTCGCGGTTCGTCCCACGCTGAGGGTTGCTCCGCACCCCTGGGCCGCGGACGCCGGCCCACAGACCTGAGCCCCTGGGACGTCGGCGTCGAGTGCCGCTACCGCCGATCTCGGCCGTCTCCCAGGGACGCGGGGCGCGCGCCGCCGGAGCTGTCGCCGCTCGGGGCGGCCGGCACGCTCGCAGCGCACGGCTGCACGCCTCGCGGCGGGTGCAGCGCGGCGGCGGCGCCCAGCAGTCTGGCGGCCGGCCGAACTGACGGCGGCGGTGTCGGCGCCGGCGGCTCCAGGAGCAGTCAGACCGTCCGCAACTGCGGGGCGTTGCGTGCCCTGGATGTCTCGAACGACACGGTGTCTTACGGTGTCGAGACTACCCCGCGGTGTCTAAAGGAAGGCCCAGTCGTGTGTTCTCTCGGGAGAGCCTCTCCGCTGGCCGTCTCAGACGACAATTCTGATTTAACATAAGTGTTCATCGCGCCTTGCTGTCATGGAAGCGATCCCCGCACACTCATGCTTAAAGTGTCCCTCTCGGTTGAGTCATGAAGGAACCGCATTATTTCCGTCTGAGATCCGTCTGTGTCAGGCCGGCGGGTCTCCACGCTCTCCCTCGTGACGTCACACCCGCCTGACAATCTGTTGCGGTCCCGGGAGATCCCGCCGCCGCCGCCGCCGCCGCCGCCGCCGCCGCCGCCACCCCGGAGGGCGCCAACAGCGGGATCCCGCTCGGCTCGGCTCGGCTCGGCCCGGCCCGGCTCGGCTCGGCCCGGCCCGGCTCGGCTCGGCCCGGCCCGGCCCGGCCTGGCTCGGCCCGGCCTGGCCCGGCTCGGCTCGGCCCGGCTCGGCCCGGCCCGGCTCGGCCCGGCCCGGCCCGGCGTCTGGCGGGACGCTGACAGTGCCGGTCCGCCGGGCCGACCGGAGGCGAGGCAGGGCGCTGTTTACGGCGCCAGCAGTAGATCACGACTGGTCGCGCCCGGTTTTTGTGGGACTGGCGCCAGCTGAGTCCGGACCGGTCACCGGCCGCCGCCGGCGCCACTACCTGTTACCTGTCGCCGCCGCCGCTGCCGCTGCCGCTGCCGCTATTACCTGTTACCTGTCACCGCTGTCGCTGCCGCTGTTACTTGTCACTACCGCGGCCGTTACCTGTTACCTGCTACCGACGCCGAAGCTCCTGTTGCCATCACCTGCCGCTGTTGCTGCCGGCTTTTCAGTTAACGGGACTGCACAGGCTGGATTGGCAAATATCTTTGGAAAGGCGAAAGTCTCATTTGTGAACGGCTCATACACAGTTAACTGCTTTAGCCCCAGCGGAAGAGAGCAGGTGGAAGATTGGCGCATGGGCGTGTAGTCGGCGTGTGATGGGTGGGTAGGTTGGCTGGTGATGGGTGGTTAGCTTGGCTGGCGATGGGTGGGTGTTCGGGCTGGTAATGGAAAGTTATATTTCCTGGTGATGAGTGGATTGTCGGGCTGATGATGGATGTGTAGTCGGACTGTTGATGAGGGGGTAATATGGATGGTAATGAGTGAGGAGTTGGGCTTGTGATGGGTGGATAGGTGGGATGATGATGGGTGGGCAGTCTGGCTTTTGATGGGTGTGTGATGGGACTGATAACGGATGGGTGGTCGGGCTGGTGGTGGGTGAGTATGATGAGTGAGTAGTCGGGCTGATGATGGACGGGTAGTCGGGCTGGTGATGGGCGGGTAGTCGGGCTGATGATGAGTGGGCAGTCGGGCTGATGATGGACGGGTGGTCGGGCTCAGGTCTCTCACTGGCCGAACGCTGGATACAGGGAGTGGAACGCCAGGTCCGGGCGCCACGGGGGCGGCAGCCTGAGGCCCACCACGGAGGCGGCAGCCTGTAGCCCACCACGGGGGCGGCAGCCTGTTGCCCACCACGGGGGCGGCAGCCTGTAGCCCACCACGGGGGCGGCAGCCTGAGGCCCACCACGGGGCCGGCACGGGAGGTAACAGGACTGGCACGACTGGAGCACTCCCGGAGCAGGACGGGCTGGTCTCCGTCGGCCCTGGTGGGAGCCGCTGCCAACGTCGGCGCCAGCCAAACATACGGCTCCTGGCTGATCTCTTGCGCTTATGGAAGCACCGACCCAGGTGCAAAGCCGGTTTAGAAGGCTTTGTGATGGAACATTGCACCGCTGGTGAGGTCAGGGGGACGAAAGTGGAACGGGCGAGCCCGGGCTGACGGCGTGCGACGGCGGAGGAAAGGCGGCGCGTGTACTCTGACGACACAGGGTGTCCTGTGGCACCCACGAGGGTGTCCACTGCGCCGTCGCTGGCGAACGCCATCGCTGCGGCCTTGGAAGGAAAACGATGAAGCGGTAATATCTCGACATGCGGTGGATGATAGATGCTGCTACTGCCAGGAGCTCACATGGATGTTGTGATCATGTGTGGCTGTCGATCCTATCACACGACAGCCGAGGCTGCGCGGCGGTCGATAATAGCACTTCACTGTCGCATGTTCTCCGATCTCCGATCTTAGACTTCATACCGCTGCTGAGTAAGCCGCAGCCGGAGACGCGTCGTTTCCGGTGTCGGCGGGTTAAAAGGGGGATGTTATCCGCGGGGGTTGAACGCTGCCCGTGTCGTGTGTGGCAGCGGTCTCGGGGCGGTATGGTCCTCCCTCCAGCCCCGACTCGTCAGCCCCGGCAGCGGTCTCGGGGCGGTATGGTCCTCCCTCCAGCCCAGACTCGTCAGCTCCGGATGCCCTTTTGTTCCAGTGCGACCGCGTTGCCCTAAGCCGTTCAATACCAGTCTGACCATATGGGACCCGTCTTTCACCTCAGTCTCTCGCGGTTCCGGAGACTGCAGTGTCTGTCTGACCATATGGGACCTTTCCTCTCACCTCAGTCTCGCGCGGTTCCGGAGACTGCAGTGTCTGTCTGACCATATGGGACCTTTCCTTTCACCTCAGTCTCGCGCGGTTCTCGAGACTTCCTTGTCAGGCTGAGCTGGTGTCGTGTGTTCGCCCCACGCGGCCAGGTTAACGTTTGGCGTTCGCGGTCTAGGTCAGGCCATTGTATCCACCGCGCCGTTCGCCTGTCTTCTGACGGTGTTGATCTCGATCTGACGCGACTGCTGAGTTCGCCTGCGCATGAGATGAACTAACCCGTCTTTTGACGGTGTTGATCTCCATCTGACGCGACTGCTGAGTTAGCCTGCGCATGAGATGAACTAACCTGTCTTTGCTGGAAGCTCGTGAGACGTGAAGCTGTAGGTGGACATGTTGTACCTCACGCTCGCCCCACGTGTTTCCTACGCGTCGCATGTAGGCCTTTGAACTGTGTGTCAAGGCACCGGCATGGCGGCATCTCTGTTGGCCTCTCTGTGAACCTCTGCTGTCTTCCGGTGCTGACCTCTGTCGTCTTCTGCTGTCTGCTGCTGTTGACTTCTTTGTCGACCTCTGCTGTCTTCCGTTGCTGACCTCTGCTCTCCGCTGTGTCTTCCATTGTGACTCTCTGTCGACTCTGTTGCCTCCCCTGTCTCCCGCTTAGACTCCTCTGTGAACCCCTGCTGCCTCCCGCTGTGAACCTCTGGGTCAACGTCTGCTGTCTGCCGCTGTTCGGTTCCCTGTCGACCTCTGCCGTCTCCCGTTGACGACCTCTCTGTATCGTCTTCTGCCATGTCCTGCTGTTGACCCCTCTGTTGAACTCGGTCGACCTCTGCTGACCGGCTCCCGCCTCGTAGGGCCGGAGCCGTTCCAGACGCCGCCGGTGGGCCGGCGCCGCCTCCTCAGCTGTCAGTCGGAGCCGATGCGGCGCCCGCTGCCGGCGACGGCGCTGACCGGCCAACAGACCCCCGAGCGCGACCCGCCGCCGTCCGCTGACGCCGACGCGCACGTCGAGCTCAAGGAGAACCGGCCGCCGGCCAGCGAGCCACGCGGCATCCCCGGCGGACAGGCTGACGGTGGGTGCCGGGTTCGGTTCCCGCTGTAGGGTATTTTCTAAGCGTCTGGTTTCGGCCGTGGTGTCGCGATGCTGGGCCCTGAATAGTGAGCTGTGTTGAACATCGCTCTTAGAAGGGATGTTGAAATGAGTGGATGGGTGGTTGTGGAATGTGTTCTGCTGCACCGGTGGAGGAGTCGCGGGGCTTCCACCAGTCGTGACCAGCCGAGACCAATTTTGTCCTTTTCTCGCCCGTCAGGGATGTCATTGCTTTATAGCATGTCGCGTCCTGTGTACTTTTCATGCATACCGGTACTATCCGCATTTTGCTTTCTACTATACGCGGTATCTATTGTACGCTACTTTTTCATTGCAAGCGTTATCTTCAGCCGATTGCAGGCGGGCTCCTCCTTATGACGTCAGAGCGCATCGTCCCGTGTGATTGTTCACGGAGGAGCGCAGGTACCTCCGTACGCTTGCGCTCAGACCTGGCCCTGATTCTTTTACATTCACGCGTCATCGCAGGCATAACGCTAAATCTCTAGGACTTGGGAGACTGCCCGCCCCCTCGCTTCTCTGAGCTGCCCTCAGCGTGCCCCCTCGCTTCTCTGAGCTGCCCTCAGCGTGCCCCCTCGCTTCTCTGAGCTGCCCTCAGCGTGCCCCCCTCGCTTCTCTGAGCTGCCCTCAGCGTGCCCCCTCGCTTCTCTGAGCTGCCCTCAGCGTGTCCCCCTCGCCTCTCTGAGCTGCCCTCAGTGTGTCCCCCTCGCTTTTCTCAGGTGCCCTCAACGTGTCCACCTCGCTTCTCTCAGCTCCACTCAGCCCGTCTGTTGTTTTTATGTCGCATGATTGATCCGCGATGTCCTCACAGTTCTTCGCGAAAATGTCGTGGACGGGTGTTCAGTATTAATGGTCCGGAACCTCTTCTATCATTCCCGGTAACCCAGGGGTCACCAGGCTCAAAGTGAGGTACTGGCTTGTCCGATTTGTAGCCTTTGTCCCATACAGGGTCACAAGGATGGCACTTAAGATTGTCCAACATCGTGACGGAGGGGGGGGAGGGGGGGGGGGCATCGCGAGCCCCCTGCAAAAGCGGCAGCAGCCAGCGGTGCTGGCAGCTTCCGAGTGTGCTGTCTGCTTGCTGTGTCGCCTGGTTCGTCGGGCTCATTGTGCAATGTTTGCTGTTTGGTATATGCAGTGGCTGAGCTAGGACTGTAGGCTGGCGGCTAAATGTACGTAGGTGGATGAAAAGCGTGTTGAGCCGGGAAACACTAACGGATCCCCAGTTTCCTCACATAGTTTTGAAACCTAAGAGGGGGGAGGGGGGACGAGGTAGCCCGCTGCATCCCCTCCGGTGACGTCTAGGTCTGCACTGTTTCATGCGAGATCGAAGGACCCCGCCGCCTGTCTCTGTGATGCTGCGAGGTGGCCTATCCAGAGAGTCGTTTGGTTAAGCCCTGCTTCCGTATCCGAGTCCGAGAAGTCCATCTTTCCCGCGGCATGCGCGTCCGCCAGAGCCGGCCGGGCGCTATCTTGTTTACAAGGCCCTCCTGAAGTGGACGCTGTGGGCGGCGCGCCACACTATCCGTCACGCGTCGCGCGGTCCGGCGCGCTTTCTAAGGCGGCGGCCTTGTCGTGGCGCGTATTTAGAGGCGTCGGCGTCCGTCGGCCGCCGCTCACTGAACCAGCGTTCTACGGCGACGCGCCGCGTCTGGTTTAAACGGCACGACGGACCAACTGCCAACGGCTGTTAGCCCGGCACCGGATCCGTCCTCGCCGGTAGTGGCGCGCCGCCGGCCGACGCGGCCGCTCCAGCGCCAGCGGGCGGCGGCCGGGTTTGCGAAGTGGCGGGTCGGTGATGACGTCACAGCGGACCGCGCCGTTGCGGAGGACAGCGTGGCCCGGTAGGACGGGCGGGGCTGACGACAGTTACCCGGTTTACATGGGCAGCCGAGGATAATTCGAATTAAGATCGGAACGGATCATGCGACGTTAACCCTCTCGGCGAGGGGCGTTTACATGGGCGAAACCGGCTTTACGTCGGATTAACGGTCGATAGTTCGATCCCGCTTAGTTCGAACCAAGGAACGGGTTATGGGCGAAAACTGCGCTTTTGAGGCGAACTGAACAAAACAAGAAGAAAAATGCCGGTACTCTGCGTATGGATGGCGAATGTCACGGGCCATGGTGGGCGCGAGACAGCTTTGATGGCGAGGAGGAAGATGGACTCCGTTGGAAAAATGATCTGTGCGGGACTCATAGGCTTTGTAGCTACAGCACAAGCCATAGCACTTGAAACACAGGAGTTGCGCAGTCAGCACTGCCAAATCTGTCACATAAGCAGTGTTATATGCAAATTTTTACTAGCAGGAAACTGGCTAGCACGAAATCAGTATTTTCTTGTATTGGCCAATGACACTCACAAACTTACCACACTCATCAGTATGCCACCCAGCATCATGTCATCTACTTTGCGCAGCCCAAGACACACATTACCTAATCCCGCACCAATGCATTTATGGGCAGCCTGCAACAGTGAGCTAAGCTACAGAAATGACTCATGGATGCTACGTAGTTAGTGGCAAAAATTGTGTAACTATGTTGTCTTTCCCCATCCAATGCATCATCAGTACCTGAGGGCAGCATTGCCATTTAGACTTGGCATGGACTGGCAAGTCAGAATGCAGCTATTTGCTTTCTTGACATACTAGGGTTGAAATACTGCTTTGATACCCTTGCAGTCAACAGCATTGGCTGATATGGACTGATGGCTAGGTGGCACAAACAGCCGTGTTCGCACAGTCCAAAGATCATAACATGAACCAGCCCCAGAGCTGTCATGACAAAAGCAATCTGGGCTCAAAATTCATAACAAATGATTAATTATAGCAACAGCTCAATTATCCACCTCATGGTTTGCAAAGATACATGTCACAAAAAAGCACCAAGGCAACATATTTACTCACCAGTACAAAAACAGGTAATGATGTGCACTGCAGATGTTCTCTGCACATCATGTGGCATTAGGTTAGGTTTACTTAGTTTATGCACTGTTTTCTTCCACATGAAATGCACAAACCTGGATTTGACAGAGTACTGATGACAGCTAATTTCATCCAGTGCTCACATTTGCTTTCTTGACATTTTGGAACCATCACTGGGCAATTTTGGGCCCATCATTAAAAATAGTTCACATTCTGCACTGACTGCAATGATCTATTGCCTATATTTGTTGATCCTTTGCATCATGCAGGAATTATTGAGTTACCCATCTCACACACATTAAACCGACAAGCAACAAACAGCCTAATTGCATCAAAAACAAATATTCCAGCCCCCGCTTCCTTGCCAGTTGGTCTACCAGTGTGATGTAACTTCATATTTCCTTGACAAGCCAGTCACCAATATCCAGCACATCCCTCCTGCCAATAGGTGGTCAACCAAATGTTCAAGTCACAGGAGGAATGTCTGCAAAATCAATCCTGGGGCATTTATGTATTCACCTAATGAAAGAAACTATTGGTACTCCCTGCAAGAATTGTTGAACAGTTGAATTACCTACCTCGTGGCCTGCAAAGACACCCATCACAAAAAAGCACCAAGGTGGCATATTTAATCACCAGCACAAAAACAGGTGATGATATGCAACACAGACGTGTTCTCCATGCAGCATGTGCCATTGTGTTAGGTGTTAGTTTATACACTGTTTTCCTGCACATGGAACACACAAACTTGGATTTAGCAGAGTAATGATAACTATTTTCATCCAGTGTTCACATTTGCTTTCTCGCTGTTTCGACCCCATCATTGGGCAATTTCGGTCCTACCGTTAAAAAAGTTCACATTCCGAGCTGACTGCAATGATCTATATTTGTTCATCCGTCATACGCAGCAATTTTTAAGCTACCTTTCTCACACAAATTAAACTGACAAGCAACCAGCATCCCAATTTAAGGAACATCTGCAAAAACACTCCTGGGGACTTCAGGGATTAACTTAATGAATGAAACTTGGAGGCATTCTCTGCAAGAATTTTGAGCAATCCAAAAATTAAAATGAGAACAAGTCAAAGCTATATAAATAACCATATTACCTCCATCTGGCTTTTGGAAGCATGGAGCCTGCCCCAGATGTAAACTAATCTAACCTTTAGGCGGAAAGATAGCACTAAACACCGTCGACGCCTGCTGTCTGCATAGATCACGCGCCTAGCAAGGCTAAATTACGTGAGCATTTCTGTGCTGCTAGCCACTCAAGGCCCTCAATAATAAGAGTAGTTTTAGCAGCATGATGTCAACTTCACCTTCCTTCTCTTTTCCCTTACCATCTTGGACTTGAACCGTCTCGAGCAATAGCTAAAAACCCGTGGAAAAGCGGTAACACCGCACAAAGCTGAAATGGCTATGAACAGAACTGCGTGCGCCAGGCATTTTTCTTTTTTTTTGTTTAGACAGCTGACGGCCGATAATTCGGACGAAATCCCTTCCTGAACGGATGATCCTCTCACGGGAAGGGATTTCCTCCGGCGCACGATTCGAATCAGCGGAACGGCGCGTGAGTGTATACATGGGCCGGATAGTTCGGATCGAGGACGGGTCCCGGCTTAATTCGAATCACAGCTGCCCATGTAAACAGGGTAAGTGTCCGGGAACGGTGTCTGGGGAGAGAGGAGGTGACCGAGCACGGGGTCAGGGTGACAGCGGTGGCCGTCCGTGCCTGGACGGCGGCCTAGCGGCGAGGAGGGGAGGGAACACTGACCTGGCGGACGGGCCGGAGTGAGGTAGGCGGCCGAGCCGGCCCAAATACGGCGCCGGCCGCTCTGCCGCCCGCTCCGACCTGCCGCATGCCGCACGTAAACGCACCAATTACAGGGCGGCCGCCGGCAGGGTGATGGATGCGTGCGTCCCGCGGCAGAGCGCGGGCCGGCGGGCGGCCGGGGCCCGCTGTGGGAGAGAGGCCGGCCTCCGGCGGCGCTGGCGTTCGCACGCGCCCGCGGCCCGCGCCCCAGCCAGTGGGAAACACCACCCTTCGGACGGTGCGCCGCAGCCGGCCTGAAGACGGCCAATGGTCGGCTTCCGCTTCACAGCTGGCTCATTACGTGCTGATTTATGTTTGCGTGGTCTCCGCGATCAGAATTACTGTGTTGTGACACATCACGCGCCGGTCGTCGCGGGACGACGGCTGGCTGTTTTCATGTTTTCGCCAATTTCGACGCTGTTCGGTTCTCCTTTCACTGGGGGTGTGAGTGCTTGTCCCGTTGTTGACCCAGTTCGGTAAGTGTTTGTCGACGGGTCAATGAGCGGATGATTCGTGCAGGCGACGATTTCTCTCTCCGCTCCGCTCTCGACCTTTTGCTCTCCCTCTTCTGTGTAAGAAAACCTCATGTCACACCTTCTTGGGCTTGGCGTTGTCTTTTAGCCTTTGACACCCCGGCTTGCCTTTATCTACCGGCAGTCGTCGCGTCCTTACCTTCGTAATTGCCAGCCATAGGGGCGCTCGTTTTCATGGAAAAACTGCATCGCTGCCATCTCCACACCGACCCAAGGCAGCCTTCAGCCGCTGTTTGCCTTTTGCACTCGCTGCTGCGCGTCGGAAAACCCTTCTGTCCCACGCTCTCGAGCCTGCCAGCTGTTTTGCGACCTTGCTCACCCATGTGCGGCTTTATGCAGTACCAAGCGCCAGGTACACAGTTGGATGATTGCCACCCATGGATGTCTCACGTTCGCTCGAAAATAAACACTACTAGATGCACCGGCATCAGACAGGCGCCTCATGTTCGGCGCCTCATATTCCGTACTCCCCGTCTGCCGTTCCGCTTGGTGTCCTGGCCTGTGACGTCACAAAGGGCTTGTGGCTTTGAACCTAGCGGCGGGGCTTTGGTTAACAAAGCATTGCTATGCGTTGGACGGAAACATTCCATCAGTGCGCATTGAACTGATCTATCCCCCTGCGCTCGCTTTCTCCCTGGTTCCAACTGACATCTCATGAGCGACCCTCAAAAGTCAGCAGTCAAACCAACCGTCAGTCACATCTCGGGCGCGACGCATGATGAGATAGCGGCCCGTGTTTCCCGTGAAATATAGCCGTCCCCTCACGTATAATGAGATAGTGGCCCGTGTTGCCACTGAAATATAACCGCCCCCCCCCCCCCCCCCCAACGTATAATGTGATCGTGGCCCGTGTTGCCCGGGACTGCTATGGAGAATCGGTCAGGCAATTGTCAGTGGAACCCGTCAGTTGGACTATGGTGTACCGGCCAGTTGAACAGCCCTTGAAATGTAACCGTTCCCTCACGCATAACGAGAAAGTGGCAAGTGTTGCCCCTGAAAAATGACCGTTCCCTCACGCTCAGTGCGTCCCTTTTGTCAACATTTACTGGTTGGCTTCGTGGAACGCTTGAAACAGGCTAACCTCGTTTCTGCGGTGCCATCCCGTGGGTCGCCAAGCTGACAAGATGCATGTAGCGCACCACATGAGTCGGAACAGCGGCGGGCTTCCACGGTCAAAAGCCGGGTCCGATTCCCACCGGCGTCTGTGGCTGCCGGTCGCGCACGCGCCGGCCACATCGGCCGCGCCCTGCGAGGCTCTGGACGACGTCTGCCGCGCAGCTGTTGGCAGGTGAAGGCTGACCGGCGTCCTCCGTCCGCAGACAAGCACGTGTCGAACCCGCCGACCTCTGAGTCGCCGCCGACGCAGGACCGCTGCCGCAGCCGACGGCTGACCAAGCAGGCGCGCGCCAAACAGGGCCGCGCGCGGTCGGAGACCATCGCCGAGATCCTGCAGACGTCACCGGTACGGCAGAGGGCTGGGGAGGGACGCTAGATCCGCCGGGAGGGACGCCAGATCCGCCCCTGCGCTCGGCCGCCTGCTGAGGAGACGGGCGAGGGCTGCGCCCAAGGTGGGGGGGGGGGAGGGGGGGGGCTCAGAGCGTTGTGTAAACTCATCATAATGACGAGGGGATCGATGTATGTTTGCACTCTGGAATCTTTTGCCGTTTCGGGTGAAACATTCCCGATGCATGCCACAGTCGTCCTATTACTATGTCAATATAAGGCGGTCCTGACCCCACAGTCCTCGCTCCAGAATCTATGCTAGGTCGGAGTTGTTGCTGAGCAGAGGCTATTAACTGAGTCATGGCCTAACGTCGGTGGCCGGGCCAGGCTGTGGTCTCGCTTGGCAAGGCAACCCTGAGAAGGGAGCTTGTTCATAGCAGGGGCTGCAGCACTGCGACGCGGCAGACCGTGCTGCAGGAATGCTGGCCAGTGTTCACGTGACTGTTATGGTGAACCGGTCAGACAATTGTCGGTTGAACCCGTCAGTTGACTATGGTGAACCGGTCAGTTGAACCATGGTGAACCGGTCAGTTGACTTATGGTGAACCGGTCAGACCAAGCAGCCCGTCCTCTTTTTTTGCGGATTGGAGGCTACTCTGTGTCGCTCTCTGCCCCTGTCGCACACAATTACCCCTCCTCTCCGGCACGCCCCCCCCCCCCGCCCTCCTCTCATCACTTCGCTCTCCCTATTGCTGTCTCGCCATGTCAGAGGTGGCTTGCCGGCCGCGGAACCTTGCCAGACTTGGCGGAGCGTGCTGTGAAGGCCGCGGCCGGGGTTATTCCGGCGCCGGCGGCGCACGAACGTTCAGATCACTGCACGAGACGCCGGACCGCCTCGCTTGGGTGGAGCTGTGGCACTCCGCCGATTGAGACCTGGCCCTTTTTTAGCTGCTCTTCGTTTCTCGCGATGCGCCGTTTGTGACGACATTATAGGTCACGAACGACGCTGTGACGAGGCGAAGGGGAAGCCCCCAGCATTATACATCACGAGCGACGCTGTCTCGCCGGCTGGCTGCCTCCCATCGGGGGCATCTCGTCACCTGGCTGTCTCGCCGGCTGGCTGCCTCCCATCGGGGGCATCTCGTCACCTGGCTGTCTCGCCGGCTGGCTGCCTCCCATCGGGAGCATCTCGTCACCCGGCTGTCTCGCCGGCTGGCTGCCTCCCATCGGGGGCATCTCGTCACCTGGCTGTCTCGCCGGCTGGCTGCCTCCCATCGGGGGCATCTCGTCACCTGGCTGTCTCGCCGGCTGGCTGCCTCCCATCGGGGGCATCTCGTCACCTGGCTGTCTCGCCGGCTGGCTGCCTCCCATCGGGGGCATCTCGTCACCTGGCTGTCTCGCCGGCTGGCTGCCTCCCATCGGGGGCATCTCGTCACCTGGCTGTCTCGCCGGCTGGCTGCCTCCCATCGGGGGCATCTCGTCACCTGGCTGTCTCGCCGGCTGGCTGCCTCCCATCGGGAGCATCTCGTCACCCGGCTGTCTCGCCGGCTGGCTGCCTCTGATGTCGGAGGCACCCCGTCACCTGGCTGCCGCATCCCCCACAGCGGGAAGGAGGCCCTTTGGTGCGGGCAGACACCGCGACACGTGGTGCTTACCGGCGCGCCGGACTCGGACGGCGGCTGGACTCCGCGCCACCAGCGCTGGTGGTGGGGATCCGTACCAGCCACTGGCGCCAGACTCGGAGCGGCGGCTGGACTCCGCGCCACCAGCGCTGGTGGTGGGGATCCGTACCAGCCACTGGCGGGCCAGACTCGGAGCGGCGGCTGGACTCCGCGCCACCAGCGCTGGTGGTGGGGATCCGTACCAGCCACTGGCGTGCCTGACTCGGAGCGGCGGCTGGGCTCCGCGCCACCAGCGCTGGTGGTGGGGATCCTTACCAGCCGATGTCTCGATGCCCGCTAGAATGGCCCTTTCTAAGCAATATCTCGATCTTTTGTTTTGGTGCATGTATTTTCTTGATGCTACCAATCACGAAATCACGAACATAGCGAAATTGTGGGCGCCGTGACAATCACGTTAATTCACGTCACACTGAATTGGAGCACGCCACCAGCAGTGTTCAGCGTACGAAAGGAGGTGCGTAGCACATTGGTTGTCATCAATCAATCGTGTGGCGCTTGTTACTGCCAGCTGATGTCAGAACCTATTGAATGTGTTTTAACTGTAGAATTAAACATGTTATGTTGTAAGAATTGCCCGCAAGTAGAAAATAAGTTTGAAACAACCGCGGGCGTGAGAACAAGTGGGCACTGCCCTCTTCCACTTTTCGCGAGCGCGCAGCATCAACCTTACGATAAGCATGGAAAGATTGAACTAACAAATTGGGGTGTGACCCGTGTTTTTTGCGGCGTTGCAACAGTCCTGAAGATCCTGACGCAGGCCGTCAATGCAAATCGCCAGGCCAAGTATGACGACCATAAAAGAAAGATAATCATGAAGGTGCAGTGAGTCCATCGAGGAAAACTGAGCATCTAACTCGGCAGAGGCATTCGTTATCGTGTTATCCGTTGAGGGCATCGACGCAGCCGGGACCGGCGGGGTGACGTCATCCCGCCTTATCGATGACGTCATCCGGCCTCCGAGCGGAGGCAGCCCTCCGCTCACCGCCCCGCGCTCTGCTTGCAATGTGACGGCCGGATGGTGCGAGACCGTTAAACGGGCGACGCTGGTTCGCCCGGCGGCCGGCAGGCGGCAGCACGGGCGCGTGACCGGCCGTGTCCGGCTCGGGGCTCCGGTCGCGGGTGGCGGCGTCAGGGTCGGGGCGTTGACGGCGAGCAGGGCACGCGCGAGCTGGGTTCATGTCCGCACCAGATCTCAGTTTCCTGGTAAGGGCAGACAAAAAGAGGCGTTTTACGGCCGAATTTTTCTGGCGCGGGGATGTAAAAACAGGGAGCTTTTACGGCTAGGGAAGAGCTGGCTGGCTGGGCGCCAAGGCACCTAAACCGAAGGGTGGCTAGCAGTAGCGGCTAACGGCAATAACTAGCCCTGGCTGTCCTCTCGGACAGCTCCGGATATTTGCGTGCGTGGATATGTTCGGCTGCGCCTGTTGACAGTTGTCTCAGTTTGGCGTCATCAGCAGCATGGCAGCGCCTGATACGCTGAGAGGGCCTCTCGCGGATAAACATGGACGAATAGAGCTCAGCCAGCTCTCCATTTGCCGAGGCTGGTAACGAAGTTGGATTACTCTATTTTCATGTGAGCGCTGCGGCAGTGGAGTGCGGCTTCGGCTGTTGCCCACCACCAGACTGCCTCCCAACCATCAAAAACGCTGGCAGGAAGCCAGACTCGAACCCGCCACCTCCGTGGCGTAACGTGTGCGGTACAGACCAAGTGTCACCGCACGCTGAGCTGTTCTGAGCGCTGCCGACTAAAACACGACCAGTTGCCGTTCGCCTGAGAGGGAACGTGCGTCGCGTAGCGCGGGCGCCTCCGCTTGTGTCCGGCTTCGGATGCTCCCATGAATAAATCGCCGTGTGTTGCGATCGAGCCAGTCTTGGCCGTGGTTCTGCGCATTGCTTGCCGTCACGTGGTCGGTTGGGGACCGGGGAGCAGTGCGGAGCGCGGCCGCGGCAGGAGCCGGCCGCTGGCCATGTGCCTGCGTGCCGCCGGCAGTGCTCTTGAGCCTCCGGGCTTTTTCGAGCTTTTCGAGCCCGACATCCAGCTTCACAGCTCCCGCGATGGAAATGTTGCACAAAATTTGTAATCGTAGTATACGCTGTGGTTATTGTCGTGTGTGTACGCCAGGGCCTCTGAAACATTACGCTGTGGATGTTGTTCGTGACAGCAACGCGCAGCCGCCGGTGAAGGTCCGAATGATCGGGTGCCCACTTCCTTGGACAGTTTACTTGGGATGTGTGCTCAGCTGCGGGTTCTGGGCGCTTTCAGAACTTCCTGAGCGAGGACAAGCCTCCGAAGCGAATGATCGACAGCCTTGCCTCACCAGATCTGAACGTAGCGCCGCGCCCCAGTGTACTGCTGCCATCTACCGTCAAACAAGGCAAGCTCAGTATCCAGGGAAGCCCGCCAGGGCTCTGTCTTGGGCGAGCTTGTGCTTCGCTCACGTGTTTTGGTTGTGATATGATGAATTGGCTGGGCTATTCACTTCGGGTCACCTTTTCTTTGCTCATGACAAATAAAAAGAATATAACAATTATCGGGGACATTGTGTTCTACGTGCTGAATGCCGCTTACGCAAATAATGCAGGTGTTCTCCGCATTTGCGTGTGATGTGATACGCCTCCTGTCGAGCAACACGTTTGACAGCTCTTGCCAAAGCACCTTCCACCAGTCCATGCTCAGTCAGTGGGTGGGGGACCCAAGTCTCTGTTTGTGTGCCCTCAGACGGCAACAGTGCCTACCTGACCGACTACTCCATCAAGCGGGAGGAGAAGTTGAAGGACATCGCCGACTCGCTGACGCGGCCCCGGCCCACACGGACCCTCTCCTACCTGCAGAGCATAGAGCACAGCAAGGTGAGCCGCCCACTCTGTCGTCACTGATTCGGCGCTTTCCGTTCCCACCCGCGGTGCGGAGAGCCCAGCACATTGGGATGCCTCGCGCTGCCGCTGATAAACGGGGTACCTGGGGCCAGTTGGTGGTATTCACCAGCAGGCTCGAGTTGGTGTGCTGCACATGTCAGGGCACAAGCCCTCCCCCGCTCCTGCATGCTTGGTTGGCTTCAGGTTGGCTTGCTGTAAGCAGGGAACCCGTTGAGCCTGTGATTTGACGGTATGATGAGCGGGGACTGCTCGTCGGAGCAATGGCCCACAGGCCGTGTACGCGGAGGCACTATTTAAACAGCCCACAGGCAGTGTGCACGGAGGCATTATTTGAACGGCCCACAGACAGCGTACACGGAGGCACTATTTAAACGAGCGTATCCGGCGAGTTTTGATTATGTGGCCAAACACACCGCTTCCCAGCTGTGCCCTCCGGAAATCAGGGGCATGACATCGCAACGGCGGCCTTGTCTCAATGCAGCTCATGTTGATCTGATAGCGTATGTTAATCAATACCTCCTGGCATATTAAATTCGTTTATCGTCGACACCGGGGCCGCCAACTGCCGCACTATCCTCCAAAACTCTCTCATTAAAGAGACCCATTCAGGATAATTTGGTGGTTATCTAGACATCGACAAAACATATAAACTCCGTTCGCGCTGTTATTGGCCTGACATGTGCAGAGACGTAGTTCAGTATTTGAAAACTCGCGCAACCTGAAACACGCGAAAATTGCGAAAAGAACGATCTCCTCTGCAAAACATGCAGATTCTAAAACAACCTTTCATTGGTAATATACTGGACATCGCAACCATATTCGTCGAGAATGATGGCCCAGCGTTGGATTCTTGCATTTCTCATTTGGCGGGTAAAACACGTTTTAAGGGTTTATGGTCAGTCGCTGCGGTGAATTTTGAGTGAGGAAAGTTGTGTCTCAGTTTTTGAACGCCGTAAACAATTGCGTATGCTTGTTGCAGGCCACCTTTCTTGTGCAGCATTCAACTAATGTGAAAAATATTGAACTACTCTTTCGCCTTGTTCCGTGTCCTGCACGAGAGCAGCACCAATGGCGTGGTGTGACGCATCTGTGTAAAGTTTATATGGCTTTGAGGTATCTGGGCAAGCTAGCACAGGAGCTTCAATGAGAGCTTTGTGAATACTTTCGAAGGCTTTTTGATATGCTGCGTTGCTATAAAAGTGCCTGTTTTCCTCGCTAGTTCCTTGAGAGGTTTTGCGATTTTCGTAGAATTTGGAATGAATCGCCGATGATACGAGCACATACCAATAAAGGAACGAAAGCATTTCACGTCGCAGGGGTGATTTAGGTCTCTATTGACTTCTACTATACCAGGATCTGACTTGATCCCGTTTGGCGTAACCATATGACCTAAGCGTTTAACTTCCTGTTTTCAGAAACTCACATTTTGACATTTTAAGCCGCCCGCCTGCACTGCGAAGACGTCCAAACACTTTCAATGTGGCTGAGATACTCTTCGAAGGTTTTTGAGAAAATTATGATGTCATCAATGTACGCTATTGCAAATACATGTTGTGTACCTGCCGAAACCTTAAGCTGAGAAAATAGTCCTATGGCATCGCAGAGACCAAATGGAAGGACAGAAAAGGTATGCAGACATAGAAAACAAGTGAAAGCAGTCTTGTGTATAAAATCGGGATCTATAGCAACTTGCCAATAACCACTTTTTAGGCTCAAACAGATGAAGTATTTTGATCCTTCAAGCGAGGCGAGGATGTCGTCGATGCGAGGGAGTGGATGGCGATTTTCACAGTTGCTTGGTTCAACTTTCTGTAATCCACGCAGTATCTTCTTTCTCCATCGTTCTCGTCAATTATGACCAGCGGGCTAAGCCATGGACTTTGACTACGTTGAATGATTCCAGCCTTGAGCGGTTTATTTATGCGGCCTTCAACCGTTTGTTTCTGACTGAAAGGAAGCCTTTTAGAATTTTGATTTACAGGAGGATGATCCTTTGTATTTATCTTAATCGTTATTAGATCTACGATCAGTATCCAAATCGCTCCGGATAAATAGATGCGAAGATCTGTCCAACAAGTTTTCAGTCTTCTGCTTTTCATAGCTAGGGATGTGGGAAAGATTAGCCTTTTGAGTTTTGTAAGTAGAATGCAGAGCGACCTTCTGATGTCCTGAGTCGTCATCTATTTTATGCTCCTGATTTGGGCTCCTTCTGACGTTTCAGCAGCGCCTGTAGTATTTCGGGCTGGCAAAGTGTGGTCTCTGGCTGTGCTATTAGCCAGGACAGTCAAGATGCGTCCACTGCTATTCGGACACCCCACAGTATTCATTAGAAAAACACCTGGCTGTTCACTAAGATATGGAGCGTTGCTCAGCGGTTCGATGAAGCAGTCTTGCTCTATAACCTTATACGCTGTTGATGAAAGCGGGCAGTCCTACGTAAGACTGCGCGGGACTGATTGTCTTCTGAGAGGTCTGGACTGGAGATGGCACTGACTGACATGCAAGACGCTGAGGGCTTAGAGGAATGATGCTATATGAATGCTGGGAGTCTTCTTCAGTCTTGTAATTTTGCACTAAAGAAACTGGAAAAAATCGTTTCTCAAAATGCAGTGGTTTTTAAGAGCTTCAGCAATCTGGAACTGGAATGTATTATTAAACTTTGAGATCGCTTTCGGAAGACTAGCAGTTCCAAAAGTTTTAAACCTATGTTCAGAAAATTATTGAAGGGGGTAAAGTCCGTTGTTGAAAGCTCATACACATTTTTTGCGCGAGATGCTGTCGAAATCTTCACGGGAAATAAGGGAGATGTCGGTGCCCGTATCTACAACAGAAGGCGTTTTACGATTGCTCAGGTATATCCAGCACATCGGAGTGTGTGGGGTTTTATAAGGATTCGCGCGAATCCCGACCGTTGAGACGGCTGACTTGACGTGATTGTGCAAAAGTTTGGTTGCCTCTGAGGCGGCCCATTTCGAGGTATATATCATCAATTTTGCGGATGACCTTGACCCTTTGGTTAGTGTGGAGGCGCGTTCTGTTTTGAAACTGACACACGTTTTGAGACTGTCTAATTTTGGGCTTAGCTCTTTAAGTAACTCTCATTATTTTTCAACTTTTCCAGCTCCATGTACGTTACGGATAATGTCAATATCCACTGGTTCATCAGTGGGGCATATGCTTCCTCTACACATTTCAAAAGTGCGGTCCGTTTGTTGTTCCACACACGCAAAATTAACTGCTTCCTGGAGTGTGGAACGTTGTCTATGAATGATGCCACGGGCAAACCTATCGTCAGTCACTCCTTTTTGAAATAAACGCTGATCCTGGGGACTAGACACATCGTCAAAAGCCTCAGATGTCATGGCCTGAAGCCTCTCCGAAAAATTTGCACGAGCTCTCCAGAATGCTGTTCAACTTGACGCAACTTCATTTGAGCGTGATGCGGATCCTGCAACGCACTGTAATCCTCCCTGCCATTTTGAGGATTTTCATTGATAAGCCTGCAGGCAAATCCTCCTGTAGGTCCACTCGGGTCTGCGTCCAGCAGAGTGCAGGTTTCCAAAAGTCGCGTGCGTTCATCGTCCGTTGTGCAAGAAAAAGTTTTCTATATATCTTACCCAATCATCAAATTTTGACGAACCCGCCCCAATGAATGTCCTGAGGTGTTGTGTATGCCCTTGAACCCTAATTTCGTGTACGATTTCCTGCATGATTTGTGCAACAAGCTGTCCCTCAGTAGGTGCGTGTGTCAGTATAGCCATGTGTGTTAGTACGTGACAACACACAACACAGACAAATAACACTGTCGCACAGTGATGCAGGCTCAAGCGTTCAAGGATAGGTTGAGGAGGGGTTGGCTCACGATTCCGGTGATCCACGAAGAAACTTAAAGACTGACGACGTGCAGATGGATATTTGTGAATCCGGGTCACTTTGCGTCAGTTTGTAGCAGATCTCTGGCTGATTGCGTGATAGTTAATGCTAGTGGAGACCTCGCTCCTGCTAGTCTTTCTCGCGAGTCCCAACAAAGAGAGGTCTTATGAAACATAGCGTCTATTTCCTGGTCACTTATACGCACCAACACTTCACCACAACACTCACACAGACAACCAACAGCGGTCTCTTCTGAGCCCAGAGAGAGTGTGAATATACACGGCCACCAGTGGTGCGACTTATATACGGTGCGCATCGGAAATGGTTCATGGTCGTAGGGTCCAGAAAGGATGCGATAGTTAAGGAATGACAATTACGTACAACGTCGTTCGATGGTCAGTTAAACCAATCAAAAAGTAGGACATAGCCTTGCGATCCCAGAACCAGCTAATGCAGCTGGCTGATGGTGAGACGCCGAAGGCGGCTTTTTGAAGGAAGTATTGGATAGCATTTCAGAAGTCAGGCATAGTTCAAGCTGCGATGGAACAGATGGCATGTGGTGAAAGAACTCTTTCCCAGGAGGTTTAGATGTCATCTGGTGGCTTTTTCGCCGTAGAGGCTTTTGAGAGTTCCAAATACTTTGTGTTAGACATCTAGAGGCTTATATAATTCTGGAGAGATGTACTGCCGAGGAATATAACTTTGCCACAGACGTCACGTGATGTCGAATGTGCGACGTGCACCGTTGAATTGGTCTGTTTGGATACAAAAAAACAAACATATAACTGGGAGGACACGGTTGGCAGCACATGTACAGCTTCACGCTGCAGACATGTGGCTGTTTCGAGCGGGCGCAAAATAGCATCGATGCCAGGTTCCTCCGAGGCCCGAAAACCACCACCCCTGGAAAAGCGTTCTTGCCCAAATAATCACTCCAGGTGACTGGTGTGGCGTTCTACGTCTGACGTCGGTGTGTGACCGTCAAATTAGGTCACACATGTCAAAGCTTGGTTAAAGCCAATGTGAAAATTTGTGAAAAAACAAAAATAAAAGCGAGAGGAACACCAATGTCAGAGCATGACCCCGTGAGACCGTGGATG